ATCGGGAATCGGGAGCGTCGAGTGATGGATGCCTGGTGCTTCGTCCATACCTAGGACAGACCCCCGACGGGGATCGAGAATCGAGTAACGCGCTAATAGAATCAATTCACCAGAGGATATACGCGATACTCGCGACGTTTCGCAGCCTACGAGACGAGCACGAGATTTAAGGCGAATCCGCTCGGTTGGAAACTGTGCTCGGGATTAAATCGCGAGGATGGCGACACGGGGACGGAAATAAACGGAGCATGAGCGACGGAAGGGAAAAAATCGAGAGGTGTTATCCCGTGGTAATTGCCTCGGATACAAAGTGTCCAACGATTCGGCGATGTTTTCGACTTTCGAGAAAATGAGAAAATTCGGAGTATCCTCTTGTATTTTTCGTGACTTGGAACTGGTCGGAAATACGATGACCGTAAATTAGAGACGGGATACACCGTGGAATCGCGAGGATTCGAACTTTATCGTTTAATTCTCGTTCGAGGGAATCCTACCGAGTGCACTATCTGTCCAGGAGGCGACGAATGCTCGCATAATTTTCCGCGGAGGACTCCGTTCGTTTGTCTTGTCGCGGAAACAAGCTCCGCTGTAAAACGGTCCGTCTCGTAAATTCTCCTCTCTTCCATTGTTTCCCAATTTCGGGGAGATAAATTCTTATCGCCCGAGAGCGACTGGATATGACCCAAATTGGCAAGTTTATTTCCACCGAGGTGTTTGGCTGCTGCCAAGTCTCCTGGACTTTCGACGCGGTCAGACGTCCGTCGGAGTTACTGCGAACCCGACAGTCCTCTTTGGACGAGTCTAGATCCTGCTTCGAAAGAATAGCCAACTGTCGATGGAACTCGATATAACGCGGTTAACTCGGCATCGATGAGACGCGGGGTGAAGCGAGTGGAAGGAAATCGGTGGAAACTCGAGTGCCTCTCGAGGCGTCCAACTTCTCCATTAGCGGCGTCATTGTACCTCGACGAATCTCGCGCTTCCGTCGACAAGCTGCTGCTGGGAAGCTCGGTAATCTGGGCTGCGAGGGGATGGAGGCAAAGCCGGGAGCAATCGTGTACCGGGGACCATCGCGAGAAATCGAAGGCTAGACGCGGAGACGACGGGAAATCTAAGAAAGTGCAGGAACGCCCACGACTTCCGGCTCGGTCGAAGTTCGAACGACACGCGCCGCCTTAATTTCGCGAACATCTCGAGCCGGGTAACGTCACGTTCGACCTCGTTCCGCGACTCGGTGGATTCGTGGCTTCGCTAATTGCGCCTCGAGAGCGGTGTCTCGATGTCCGCGCCGCTAATGGGATTCTTTCCGCGGTTCTCCGAAGAACGCGCCGACCTTTGCGCACTTTCCTCCCTCGTATTTCTCCCGAGCGGAAGAATTAAATGGGGCCGCGGTGGAACCGCGAAGCAGAAGCCGAAGGTTAACTGTTAGAACCGTGACCGCGATCTTCCGCCGACGACGGGGCGACGGAGGCCGAGACCCGTGGAATAAGGGAGAAAAAGGGGCGGAGAAGCGGAAAAAACCGGGCGACTCGTTAGGCGAAATAAAGCGGAGAAGATCGGCGGGAAGCGGAGCGATAATTAACCCCGGCTAAACGGAGATGCAGATACCGTTCTTTCTGGTCACTCTGCAGATCCGGAAGCGAGATTGTCGGCGCAGTCGAACGCCGAATCCGCGTCTCCGCTGTATTTAATTAGTGCACGGGATCGAGGAGCAAGGATGCCCCGAGGTGGTCCGTGCTCTAACGAGACAGTCGTTCTCTCTTCCGAAGAGTCCTCTCCACCGTGTTTCTCCTTCTTTTTCCCCCCGCCCCCGTTGCGCCCTTTCTTGCTCCGCTAGGTACTCGACTCGAAGCTTCTTCTCTCCGTCGCGGACGTCGGAATTGCGCCGCGACGTCGACCTTCCTCTCCCCGGCTCTGCCCGGAAACGAATGGCTTTTCCACCGTCGCTCACTCTCGCGTCGTTCCGCCACGCTGCTCGAATAATTTCTGGAATTCGTTAATTGTAGTGTCCCGAAAGTACCGCTCGCCAAGTGGAATCCGGCATTGTCTCGGCTCTTTTTCTCCCGACGGCTTTCCGCGGACGGCGATGAAAGGGAGAAATGCTCGCGGTCTTCCGGGCAACGTTCTTGGCCCGATTGTCAATTAGTCGGGGGCGATCCGTCTGCCGGGTTAAAAGGCGAATCGCGGTTAAACCTTGGTCGAGGCTGTTGACCCTTTTGGCGCTTTAAACGCCCCTCGGGAACGGATTCTCCGCGAGCTGCCACGATTCATCGGCGGCCAAATAGCCGGCCGATGTTCACTTTAGTTCACTTTTGACAACGGCAAATATTTCTCGTGCTTTGCGAGCGGTTGTTTGTCGAACGGCCAAAGGACGATCGCGATATCCTTTCCAGACTTTCCTCCGGTTTGTTTAACCCCGATTTCCCACTCCGCCCCTCCTCTAGGGGTCTAGGTACTCTTTCGAAGGATCGAGTTCCAGCGGCCATTCGATCGCGCACGTCTTCCGCAACCATCGCGATAACGATCCTCGGGTCGGTGAAAAACACGGGCGGCAACTTCTCCTGGGCGTGATACGATTTTCGATTCACGGATTGGCAAAAACCCGATGGAAAAGTTAGCGCGGATCGTCCGTGGCGAAGATAGCCGGGAAAGGTTTAATCGTCTGTCGGGGAAACAAAAACACGGCCGCGCAATTCCGTATGGATGAGCGGTAGCGCGTTTAAGCCGTATCGGATTAGGAGCGGCGATCGAAAAACTGGAGGAACTTCCGGTGATGGCGGCGGCGGCGGCGACGGCGGTGGTGGATTCCGTCGGTGGAGGGAAAAACACGTAATATCCCGGCGAAGCGAACCTCATCTTGTCCATTGTCGCCGGGATAAAGTTGTCGCGCGTTGTTGGAAAATCACGGGGAACGGGACGTGGAAGGGGGCGAGGCGCCGAGACGTCTCGACGCCGGTTTACCGCTGCTTTATCGGCGTCGTCTTCTCGCAACCGTCCCGCTTCTCGTCGCCAACCTTCCGTCCTCTTTCTTTCCCGTTTTCCATGCCCCCTAAACGCTTCTTCCTCGCTCCCCCGATCCTCTATCGATCCTTTCTACCCCGTTTCTTCGGATGGCCACGAGCCACTCTCCGCTTTAACCGTTCCTGCGGCAGACGTCGGATAAGCGTCGCCGATGGACCCGGCGTCGGAACGCCACCGATCCAGACGAGTATTCCTCGCGAGGATGCCGTGGAATTGCTTCGACGTGTCCCACGCAACCTCCATCGACCCCCCGTTCGAGGAGGGTTGCGCGCGCTCGCGTTATTCGCGTTCGTCGTGTACGCTTGGCGGCGATACGCGGGGGCCGTGATTCGTCTAACAATTCCATTTCCTTGGCGCCAGACCGGAGACATTAACGCGTTTCCCTCGGCAAGGGAATAGAATTCCCGTTGCGCGCGTGACGCCTGCATGCGATAATCGCGCAACGATGCGACGCGTGCGGCCTGCGGAACGCGCGATTTAATTAGAATTCGCTCGCTATCGCTCGTCGTGATTCCGCGAGTCACCGTTAGACGACTCCACTCGATAGACACCGTTTCCACGCCGTTTCCACGCCCTCTCCACGACCTCTTCCTTCCGCGAGACGATCTCGCGAGTGACTTGTTAACGAGGGGAACGAGGGGAGCAGGGAGGGTAAAAATGAACGGGAGAATACGGTACGCTTTATCCAGCTGTTCCTCGAAACGCTGGCGGCAACCCCTCGACGTCCCGACGCTTCTTGCAAGGTCAGCCGAAAGCACGGCTGGTCTCGGCCGAACCGGTGACCTAGAGGTTTCCGTTAAACCCCTCGACGTCCCGACGCGTCTTGCAAGGTCAGCCGAAAGCACGGCTGGTCTCGGCCGAACCGGTGACCTAGAGGTTTCCGTTAAATTATTCAACGCGCTGACTCGGCGGTTTTCGCGCCGATAAGCATCGTCTCGTTACCGCTACGCGTACTATCCTAGCCGTTGCTTTTCCGCTTCACTCCGCCAGGCGAGGCACTTGCCTCCGAAGCGTCAGTCGCGAGATTAAAATATTCCTCGCTGCTGGCCGAATCGAGGACAACGTCGACACGCTGATCCCACGGGAGGCGTATTTCATTTTCGGTGTCGTATCGTCGACCGTGCGAGATCTCGCGTGGCAGGTCGACCGGGAGACGAAAATGAGGGAGAGTCCGAGGGGATGCAAGAGGATATTTCCAGCAAAGGTTTCCCCTCGACGACGATTAGTCGAACGATCCTCTGACCCGGGGACGCTCGAGTTATCGATAGAATTGGCTGCGTTATCCGGAAGGAACGACACGATCGCGAGAAACGGCGGGCGGGGGGACGAAAGGGGGGGAAAGGTGTCGCGGTGCTGGGTGCCGCGAACAGGTGATCCGTGGTTGTTCCGCGACATTTATTTCCATAGCGATCGTATCGAGTGCCCGGAGGAACGGGAAAAATTCCGTTTCTCTTTTATTCGCCAATGCTCTACGCTTGGAAATTATTCGAGAATCGCGGCGGTCGTTTATTTCTCGGTTTCGGGCGATAAAAGCGCGTCTTCCCTCGGATGCCGTTTCTTCTCGCCGTCACGGTTCCAGATATTTTTCCACGTTTCGTTCGAACGCTTGGCCGAATCGTTTTATCGAAAAGCCGATTTCTCCGCTATCGGTCCGTTTTCTTTAACAAACCGTAGCGAATTCGCGCGAATCTCTCGCCGCGAGAGCGCCATTTCCACGGAAAAATCGCGCACCACGTCGGGCCACTTCGGGCAATTTCCAATCGGATCGAACGCGGTATTACTTTCCATGACGTGATAAAACGGATTTACGAGCCGAAAATCGTATAACGTTATTACCGGAAACGGTTATTTCTTTGGCCAGAGAGGTCTCGAGACACGTAGAAACGCGCCACCTCCGGCTATCGTGTCCGATGTACTTTAAGGCGAGATCGTTGGCGTGACAAATTCTTCCGGTTCTAAAAGAATCGTTGGTGTTGCAGGTCTACCCCAGTGACGAGCACCGAGCACCGAGATGGCAGCTTTCGTGGCGAAGCAGATGGTCGGCAACAAGCTGAACGCGGTTAAAGGTGAGTCTTTTCTCTCTCCGAAATTTGTCTCGCATCGGTACGATCTCCACGTACAACGTGCTATTAACTCCGACGAGCTCTACCTGAGCCGACGATAAAAGAAACAGGCGGAACGGGGAAAGGGCTGTGGGATCCGAGACTAGCAATTTCTGCGTAACACGGCCGAATGCAATTACGCTGGACAGACTGACAGGCAATTTACTAATTCGTGTTCGGAAATCGTTGATCTCCGTTTAACGCGGAGAAAACGAATTAACGGCGAACGCTCGACGCGAAAGCGATCGACTCGGAAGAGGGAAAGACGTTTCGTTTCATCTAACCACGTCCGCCTCGGGAACGCCGCGCAAAGTTTCCGAGGTCGCGTGATAGAAACGCGGGAAAGAGACACTCGGTGGATTCCAGTAGTCTAGGTGGACGATAGGCGCGGCAAGGACGATCGTGTTTCTCGTATCGACGATCGGACGGCTCGCGAGTGCTTCCGATATGAACCGGGGAACGAGAAGACGATTGCCGGCTTCGTTAACGCGATCGTGACGAATTAATGGCGCAAACGTGATATCGGAAAGCGGCGCCCGGGCCACGCGAAAAGCACCGTTTCACCGTGTCTTGATATATTTCTTCGGCGGAGGAACATCGGTCTTTCGGCGGGTAATTTAGCACGCGAATTAAGATTGATCGCTCGCACGGAGCAAGCAGGAAGGAAGAAAGCATCGGGGCAAATGACGAAGCACCGTCAGCTCCCCGTGGATCGGCGGCCATGAGAAAAAATGATTCGTTCTCGCTAGCGCCGCGCCGACGCGTTGTATTTTTACCCCATCGATCCGGGTTAAAAGAATCCTTCCTTAACGCGTGCCCGAGCCGCTGATAATACTCGAAATAGAATCTTTATCCGCGTTGCAACGGTGTCCGTTTAATGCCGTTCACGTAACCGTGTCGGCGTCGCGTATAAAAAGCCTGGCCGCGTGGCAACGCGAGCCACCACGTTAATAAGCTCGGCAAACGTGACTCGACTCTCGACGTTTTCGATTACACGGAATAATGTACTCCATTAAAGTTGCGTCGCTCGCGGAGCGACGGCTTTTTCGCGAAGGCTGCTTCAGAAGGACATCGGAAATCATCGTCCTGCGTTGTCGAGGACGAGATTAGAGCGAATGACCTGACCAAACAGGCGGTCGAAGCGTCGCCAAGTGTGGATCGAGCTGTCCAAATATCGATATCGAGTCGTTGCTAACTCGACTGAGCTCTCGTGACATCCGGAAACGTCGAAGATCCTTCGCGTAAGATCCGTGGGGGGCCCCCCAACGGAGGTTACATTTGTAGGAATAGAAGTACCTTCGGTAAATACCCAACTCCCAATATTCCGTCTCCAACGGAGAGGTTGGTTAACAATGGTGGCCTCTTTGTCCGGCTTGATGATGGACTGTTGTTCCTGCAGTGCTGGCCTGGTGGTATCCCCGTGGTCGTCGTTGCTATAGATGGGGTAGCAGGTAGAAGAACGACGAGAAAAGGAAGGGATGCGTTTCGTCCTGGGCCTGCTAGCGAACTCATCGGTAAGCCTTGCTTAGCAGGCTCTGCCTTAGACACTGGGATACTTGGGTGTCACGGGAACTTCTATTTAAGTGAAGTCGTCCTCGAACCTCCTTCAAGTAGGAATCCATCTATTGGCGAGGGTGAGAACTTGGACACTACACATTATTATGCGGTTTCTACGGTACTGCCGGTTGGTATCCTGTTGGCTGTCTCGCTACGATAGGTAGCAGACAGAAGGACGCAAGGAAGGGATGCGTTTGGTCCTGGGCCTGCTAGTAGACTCGTCATTAAGGTTTCCTAGCAGGCCCTGCCTCAGACGGGGAATAACTAGGTAGCATAGGAATTTGTATTTATGAGAGTCGAGGAACCTCGAACCTCCGTTTTCCGTCTAACTGTGAGAGTGTGCCCGTTGGTCGCTACGGATGCTCTTCGAGGTAGGTCGCGACGGCCACGGAATTCCGCGCGGGTCACCGATGCGTGTTCGTCGTGAAAGATGAGGAAAATAGCACTCGACGAACAGGTTGCTTAATCATGGTTATTCGAGTTAGAATTACGAGTTGGCTAGTTAGACCGGGAATCGAAGAGGAGCCACCGCTAGGCCGAGAGTCCACGCGTCGCAGGCTGACTTGTCGGCTTGCTGGCAGCTTGAACGATGGCCCGCAATAAAACTTGCGTCATTAAGGGAAAGTTTCAGCCCCGCGAACGCCACCGAACACGGGAACGAACCGTATCGCGCGGGAATCCGTAATGGGAAACGGGGACCTTCGTCAAACGAGCCAGCCCCGACCCCGAATCTTTCTTCGGGCCAACCTTAACTCACTTGGACGCGATCAATCCATCCTTCCTGTCCTGGCTCGCTCGGCCTCCTCCCATCCCGATACCGCGAATTCTTCTTCTTTCGCCAGCCTTACACGCGTCCAGCCTGGAACGGTCCAGGACTCTGCTTCGATCCTCTCGACTTTGAACGGGTTGTCTCGTTCCTCGGTGTAATTTCCTCAACGACTCCCGATCTTTCACCGATCCTAACAGGGCAAACCTAGGATACGACTGTGAGACGCTCTTGGATAGTCCCAGGAACGCTTCCTGGACACGATGGCTCTCAATACTCCCTGTCATTCGCGGCAATTTCCACGGCGAGTGACACGGATCCTCGGCGCGAATCACGGTTTTTAATCGTTTCCACGGCAATTATCGCGGTTTGTCCGTCGCGATGTAAAGCAACGACGAAGAGAATGGGGTCGGAAGTTGCAAGTGCCGGAAAGCCCCAGTGGTTTGTACGGGGGCGCGACGGGGTTTAGCGGGAAATGCGGTGAGAAAGTTTCGTGGAGCTGGAAGAGTGGACGAATCGAATGGCAATTAGTTTGGGATGACCCGAATGCGGGATAGGGGAGGAGAGAAAAGTGGAGAGATAGGAGGGTACGAGTGGGGAAAGGGACGCGCACGGAGGTATCGTTGGGAAAAAGGAGGAGGACGGGGTGGGAAGATCATCGAACGGGGGTTAGGATGGTAAAAAGACGGCGCAAGAAAGGTAGGAAAAAAGGGACGACAGGGGTGAAGAGAGATAAGTAGGCGAGGGAGACAGCAGGGGTGTGCGAGTTAAAGCGAGATATATCGGAAGGCGGAGGGTAAGCAAGGCGAGGGTTAAAGCTCGGGTGAAAGCGGAGAACGATGGACGAAAGCCTGCGGAGATTGCTAGCCGAATGACATATATAAATTCCGAGCTGGCCTCCTTTCGCACCCCTGTTCCCTCTCTGTGCCGGAGCATCCAAACTGCGGCAAGTTTTTCCTCGGTCAGCCGGTTAATTGAAATCCCGTGGATCGATCGACCGCGACCTACGCCACTGTGCGGTCGCTCGTTGCAAGTCAGCCGAATGGCTTTGGTCTTGGACGATCGGGGCAAACGTTCTTGCGTTTCCTCCAGATGCATTTTTCGCGCGATAAAACGGGCTGGAAGGCGATAGGGGATTCCGTGGAATATCGCGGATCGCGTTGCGTTCCCGAGGATATTTGTCAGCGGAAAATTTGACGTTTCCCGGGGAAATCTTCCTATTTCACGGCACTCGTTGTCTTTCCACTTTCAAACCGGATTCGCGGTTCGAAGGAGCACGATAATCCTATTCGCGGCGGATTTATTCGCCGTTCAGCGATACGACTGCACTCGAAACGGTCGGTACTCGAACGGCAAACACCCCGTCGACTATTAACCGCGATTCACGTCGAATCGGAACCCGATGAGCTGTGCGCGTCGATCGGCAGGAAAAATATAGGAGACCCGGGGGTTGCGCGCGAATTACGGGTGGGACGCGTTTCGACGGCTTTGCACGGAAAATCGGCGAGACGCGCGGAGCGCGGAGGAAAGGGGCAGAGCGGATCGGCGATAAAGCTCGGTAGACGGAAAACAAACGCGACCAACGCAACGTTCGCGTGGAGATGCTGGAAATAAACAACGGAACGATTATGGTAAGAGGCCGGGGGCAGGGTGGAGTGGTAATACGCGCGTGAGCGACGGTATTTATGGCGGCTGGATGCGAAGATAATTATCTCTGGCATTATAAATCACGCAAATGGTATGCAAATGTCGGTGAATCGTTTCGATTGGCGAAACGAGCGCGCATCGTGGTCGCCGTTATCGATGGTTTATTCGCGGCGTTGACGTTCTCCGTGCCCCCCCTGGCGTAACTTGCAAATATTCCAGCAGCGAGATTGGTACACGGGGTATCGGAGCGCGGGTAAACAGGAGTCGCGAGGTTTCCCCGCCATCGAAGTTTACGATGGAAACGCGGTTCAAGAGCGGAACGAGAGCAAAGGATTAAACAATATTTGTTCTCGCGTACGGGCAGAAGCTGGCGCTCGCGCATGTGTCCGAGGGAAGCTCGGTATGGGCAGGAAGTCGCTAATGGGGCTCAAAGGATTTGCCGAGGAATTAAACCGAGCATCGCGCCCAACTTTCTTCGATCCCAAACACTGCCAACTTCTTTCGATTTCCCGTGTGCTTCATCCGGTCGTTGCAAATCCGAAAAATTACATCCATTCGGCTTCGGAGAACTTTCCTCGAGCGCGCGCTGGACCAGGCTCGCAGAGAGGATCTAGATCGCGTGGATCGGCGAAGGAAACTAATTACCGAGCCGATAACCCGTTCCTCGATCGTCTCGCGTTCCACTTGGCCGGCTCGGACGTCGCTGCGTCAATTATCTGCGCGTATCCGGGCTCGCATCTGGGCCGAGGGCGGAGGCCGAATTGCAGCGGATCCAGGTTGCGGTCGGAACTGGCCAGAAGGTAGTCGCGATGCTGGTCGACCGACGCGTTCCTCGTGGTTCGTGGGCGACGCGGTAGAACGACAGTCGCCCGATTTAAACCGACTCCCACGCGCCAACTCTATTTACGATGCGTCGAGTTCTTCTTCTCTTTACCGCCGCTTCGCCCTTGGCGCGAACAAAGGCCGCGCGGGCCAGGAAACAAAGGGCCGCGAG